TTGCTGCAGTTGAAAGTGATGAGACATAAAAGTTTGCCAGAAAGATGAAAGTAGCAAATTTGGACCATGCATTCTTTATAAGGTAAAAAAGAAAGAAAAATGAAAAGTTTCATTTTGACATTTTCCAATTCTTGGGGTGATTGCCTCAACTGAAAGTCATGAAAAATAAAAGTTTACTTAAATGAAAGAAGTTAGAAATTTCGATTGAATGTTCCTTATCAGATAAAGGGAAAAACTAAGAAAGTTTTATTTTCATATTTTATTATTATCTGAGTAATCACCCCCATTAACAATAATTCGAAACAAAACTTTCCAACCAAATTAGACGCTTCAAACTATAATAATTTATTCCGTATCCTAAGGATACATTTAAAAAAAAAATTATTGGATACATGATAATTATTATGGTAATTAGCACAATTGCTAATTGCGGTAATGCTAAATAGCCCGTTTCATTTAATTGCCATTAAATGTTTGACACAGCATTGCCGAGTCTGATTCTTTTACTATTAAACTGCGAAAAATTGGTGTAATACAGCAAGTGGAGGACAATATGATACCGCGATAAGGTTGTGTTGACGAACCAATTGACCGCCGATTTGTCCTAATTAAAATACTAATGCCGAGAAACTAGGGCAATGCTGCCGAAGGCAGTAGGTATCTTCATAAAACCATGAAGCGTTGAATTAATGCAGATGTGAGACAATGCGATTGTGGAACCGCGAAGTGGTGAGTTCGTGCAGGCGAAACAGCTCGTCGCCGCAAGCTGCTAGTACCATATAACCGCATCAGTTCATCGTATCATTAACTTAAAAATTACAACTAATCAACTTCTCTTTTGAAATGCAATGTTTTTGTAGAATAAATAACAATGTTTGGTTATTTAGTTACAAATTATTGCTTCCATTTTAATCACTAAAAATATTAAATTTTCTTCTTACACTTTATAATTAAAGTTCAGATATCTTTGAATTTTCTATTTCCTTTCAGCGTACTTAATCGTTACTTTTTTTTATTTCTAAATTTATTACTAGTACTTTCCTAAATCAAAACTTTTTACTTATCACTTAGCGATTTAAATATTATCCATAAGTAATATAATTGAGTATACTTCAAGAAGAAGAAGAGCGCTGACACCCACACATGTGACCTACTACGTCAGCGCCAGCTGATCGGTTATAAGCAAAATGGAGTGTTAAAGCTGAGATAAGTTTCTTCTTATAAGTTAGAAAGTTAATTAACTTGAAGTTAATTATATGCAGTGCCGTATCACACATTAAATTTGTTGAAATGGAATTCTTTCTCGTCTACATCTTTTATTTAACTTAGTCTTATTATTTACTTATGTAGTTTATTGTAACCATGATGTATTTTTGTTTTGTGTACCTGGCAACTTCGATGAATAATTAGTTCGTTATATTCCACGTGGCTTCGTGCCTGTCTTTGTGTCAAACAAGAAAGATTTTGAGAGAGAATTGAAATCTTTGTGAAAGAATGTAAAATGTGTAATTTAAAGGAATTGATACTAGATGGGCTTGGCTTACTCGAAATAGAATGGAAAGAACAATTGTTAAAGTAAACAAATGCCACGTTTCGATCACCAATCAGGATCGAGATACCCACACTACGTCACTTGCAAGTATAGCATTGTGTTTTTGTAACTTATGAATATTAAAACTGCAATTTTAAAACCATACCTTGAACATTTTCCTGGTTGCGCTACTAATCACATTATCAAGGCTAAACTTTGCTTGTAACTCCAGTTAAGTTACTGTTTAATTTCAGTCTTGGAACAACGTAGTTTTCGAGCTATTTTATTTCGTTTAACATTCTTAAAGGGAAAGATTTATCAAGTATATCCATAAGTTAGATTTTAATTTACCTTTTATTATAAAAAAAATCAATTCTAATGTTATCCGTTAAAGTTAGAAATATTTTTAAAATCTAATAGTAATTATACATCATAAAAATTACTGTAAACAGTTTCTTATTTACGAAACTTAAGACAAAGAACAGAAAGATAAAGACTGTATTTATAAAAGTTATTGAGAACAAAAATTCAATAAAACATCAGGATGAAAAAAATTTTAAAAAAAATCTCATATTATTTTTTATGTAAATTAATTTTTTACTTCATTTTTCTTATAAACGCTACTGAAATACTAAATATTGTAAAACGAGGTGTGCATTAGCATTGAGAGAGATCTGTTCTAATCCCTAATTGTAAAGTTTATGAGGAAAATTAACTATTGTTTGAGTTACAGTAAGTTGTATGAACACGGATTTATATAATTATTAAACAGCCAACAAACGCGATATTATTTTATTTAATTAATGAAATTTTAAACACATAAAAAGGCAGGTAATTTTTAAACAGAGTTGAGACTTTTTCTACCTGCAAGATATTGATAACGAAAAATTTTTTAATACTATATCGGTACTTACGTATTAACGCAACCAGGCCAAAATTCGCATAAATCGCCAAATTTGGCGTAGGTAGAAAAAATTTAAATCAATTTGTTTTTATAAAACAAAGTATTTTATAAACAAAATTATAAGCATATATTTTAACAACCTTTTAGATTACATATTATTTCGACATCACATAGTGCATTATTTCTCATAACAAATACAGTTTTTTATATTATTTTGTTTTAAAATATAGAATAGCAATTAAACCCTTCCGGTTTCGAATTTAAATAAGTTGCAGAATTATTTTTTCGGCGGAAATCTTTTGGCTATTGCTTTTAGCACTGATTGAAAACCGTCTTCGGTATAATTCCATATCCTTGTAACAATTCAACAGCATCTTTTCCACTCACAGGCAGATCCCAAATACCCATAATTAAAGTATTTCACGGCATTCAATCTAACCAAGCAAAATAATTTGTTTACGAAAAACCACGTATAACACGTAGGGTTGCCGTAAGTAGGGTCGCCAAAATTGACGATTTATGCGAATTTTGGCCTGGTTGCGTTTATACGTAAGTACCACTATATCTTTAGAGTTACCAAAAATGAAATGGAATTCAATTTAGAAGAAAAAAAGACGCACGTAAGTAGCTAGGATTCATTTAAAGTATTAAATTCTTGGTTTGTTGATAATTTTCGTTCAGTTTTGGTTAAACCCCGTTTCTGGTTACTATGATGTTCGTCGCTGTGTTTACTTTCGATGACTTTACTTTCGGATTACCGCAATTTTTATTAAAAGTTATGGGATTTATTTTTGGTTTATTTTCATCTATAATGATTTATTTTCAAAAAACCAAATGGTAAGAGGAGCACTTGATTACCCCACAAGCTGTAAACTATTACCCCACATTCTATACTTTTTGAGTATTCGGTTTCGAAAGTTTCGGTCAATTAAATAAGCCTTACTGAATGTAAATAAGACGAGCCCTGAGTTATATGAATGGAGGCGACACTTGACACTTGACACGGACACTTGAAAATAAATTCATAAATTGTTTATTTTCGTCAATAGAGTCAACCTTGTTTATAACACGTGAGAGTGCCATGGTGGCTCAGGGGATAGAGAGTTCACCTCCCAATGAAGTGACCCAGATGCGAAATCCAGCCGTAGCTCATTAAAAAGAATTTTGCCCTCGGCTCGCACCGACCACAGTGGCAATGCTAACATAAAATATTCTCAGTGGTAGGATCATAGGTTGGAATCTCCTTAGCACTAAGCAGATCGTGTGAGGTTTTTGTAATTTTACTCTCCATGTAACGCAAATGCGGGTACTTAACAAAAAGTCCTCTGTGAATGCTAGTTTGTCCGAATGCTTGATGCCCAGTTATTCCATTGTCTTCTGGGTTGAGTTCAAAATTACGAGGCTTCGGAGTTGAACAGTAGTAGTCGTAAACTCAGAATTGGGTCGGTTATTCAAAGCCGGTTATAAAATAAAAATAAAATATAATTCGTGAGGTCGTTATGATTATTTTACTAATTTAGGAGATTAGCGAGAAAGAAAAAAAAAACAGAAAATTCACGGTTATAAAAACTTCATATAAAATAGAATTCACTTTAGTTAAAGGTTAAAAAGAGCTTAATTTTTCACTTAATCAGAAAAAATGGTGGGGATAAAAAGAATGAAGAGTAAATATTATAGGAAAAATATAAAATTTCTAACACACATATTAAAAAAATTAAGTATATGGTATTTTGATGAGATTTATTGCAATTATTTTAAATTTGTTGGTACTTATCAATTTAGATGGCACAAGTAAATTTAGCTATTTTGTATATTTATTTACGTATTATTAAATTTATTCAAATAAAAAAATTTTAAAATTTTTTAAAAAAACAAAAAACAGTCGAATTTACTATCTTTTTACTGTCAACTTCATCGCTTGCACCGTCGAAATGGTGGATTTGTCATTTGATAGAAATAACTGTACTATTCAAACCTCTTTTGTGATAATAATGGACTTTAGATAGTATAGGCATATAATATACTATTATAAAAAAATTATTTGTACGAATATGTTTCGATTTCAATTACCCTAACGTTAATCGCAGATATGTACAAAGTTTGATATAAGTGCTCGTTATTTTTTTTTTTTTTTTTTTTTNTCCGGAAACATATTTTGTATACTATCCTATGATTCTTCAAAAAAGTCACTGAACAGATTAGTTAGAAAAAGAGAGAGAGAGAGAGAATAATCGTTTTAACATGTAATATTTAAGTTACGAAACACTTTCTTATTTACCACATATTGCGAATATCGTGTATCGCAATATCCATTTTTTCTAAATCTGTTTGAAAAAGGATCACCCTAGTGCAAAAGGTGAGTAAAAAAGCACTTTCTCTGGTAAAATATGTGTTTATTCTAATAAATCGGCAAAACATTTTTCATTTGTTTATTTTTTAAAGCTAGATATATTTTTATTCGACTGGTAGTCAGAGGTCGTATTATATCTCATTAAGAATTATTTTCAATAACCAATAAGATGATTTGTGGTTACATTCAAAGACTCAATCAAAATATGCGAAACATTATTTACTGATATAATAAAAAGCAGATGCGCAAACGTTTCCAACTAATTCAAAAATTGTTGCAATTGACAATCCTAACCATAAATTGAGATTGCCGCCAACGTGTGCGAAAAATTCAAATTCCGAAAAAGTAGCCTTCTGCGAATAAATGGTGTGATCAAGCGTTGCATAATGTATTTTCAATTTTATGCGAGATTTTGTAGCAGAGGCATCTTTCCTTTTTCGATAATATAAATTTGGAGAATAATTTGAATAAGAGACGTTGTGTTCAGATCCGTCACCGAAAATAATCTTCATATTCCACACATCGTATTCATAAGTGCATTCTGGCTCTAGTGGACCAAGGTGACTTTTCCGATAGCTTACATTCAATGGCAATAAAGATGAAGAAATTAGTAAATCATAAAATGTACTAACGCAAGGCAGTGGACATTCGCAAATTGAGTTCTTATCACTCAACGAGTCTAACATTCTACGTAAGCACTTCATATCTATTTCACTCTTTAAGTCACAAATCCGCTTACCTTCATGCGGCAAAAGAGGATCAACACAACAGCACATGGATAAACTATGAAGATGCATGCACGACAGCATACAATCATACTGACTCTTTTCCATTGCATTATCTTTTTCAGTATCATACTCTCTACAGCCATCTCTGTAAGGTTTGGGTAACCTCTTGTGGGAAACCCTAGTTACAGCTACATCGGTTTCGAACTCAGGACTCACATTTATTCCATTTTCTTCTGGATGTGGAAGTTCATTTTGGTTATGCACAACTAGACGTATACCAGAAGCTTTAGTTACAGATAAATATTGTTGTTCCTCGATGTTTAATTCCATTTCTAGTTCTTTGGCTGGTTCTATTTCGTTTCCACTCTTGTTTTGGCTTGATTGTCCTCTAAAAGTGTAACAGTTTCCAAACTGGAGGCTTTGGTAATAAGTAAAATCCTTCTCACTACACGGATTTGATTGAAAAGTGCATTCTGTGAAAAAATCGTGGAATAAATGACCGTAACATTTTCTGCTGTGTGCATCTAATTCTGCATAGTCTGTCAAGAAATCCTGCGCTTTAAATCGATAATCTTCATCAAAATATGCAAAATCGGACCATGTACCGTATAGAAAAGTCTCCGGAAACATAGGTCTCATAGGACGCTCATTTGGTCTTATATAATCACCTATCGGATATGGAAATTCATCTTCGATACACTTTTTCCAAGGTTTGTTCCTACATGTGGCATATTTATTTTTCATCCTATTCAAATTACAGATAGTCACAGCAGGAAATAGGTTATCTCTGTTCGATTCCACACTCAAATCAATTAACACTGGATAGTTAAAATACACGCGAGAAAACCTATACGCCTCATATATGCATGAAGAAAGAGTAACAAGTAAAAGAAGAATCCAAAAACATTTCTGACCTGTTGCTTTCGCTTTTCTTATTTGGGAAACGGCTGGAATAGAGGACTTGTCAGAAAATATTGTCATTAAACTGAATGAAGTTAGATTTCCTTTTGAATTTCCGTTGTAAGAGAACTTTCGAGGCTTTTCGTCGGAATTTTCAGCTGTGGGGTGCACTTCAGTGTGTAATCCGATTTTACTATCTCTCATCATTGTGGATTAATATAATGAAAAGATATTTACAGAAATTTAAAAGGGAAATCGAAAACTAGTTACACTTACAAGAGTTCAGGCAAGCAAACCTTGGTATTAATACAAAAAGTAAACTATGGTGAGTAATTGCGTGATAGCTATGAATGACTTAATGAAGTTAATTGCTTGAATAGGACATTCATTTTTTTCTAAAATTGTTGACGTTTCCTCTCTTATTAAATTATTAATGAGCATTTTCCTAACTCATCGCTCATAAAGCACTTAGTCAAATTATTGTCGTTTTCCACTGTAGTCTTTTGCGTATATTGAACTGTTTTTTACCATAAAGTTGTTAATTATGGAAAAGATCTATAATGCATTTATAATCGTAATTATACTTTTTTTTATACAAGGCTAATTTTTTCAACTCATAAAATACTTTTCGAACCTTTGTAAAACCAATGTTAAATATTCTCAGTAGAAGTCATAAATTTTTATTTTTGGAAAGTGAAAAAAAAAAAAAAAAAAATTTAAATTCTGACGAGTCATAATCAATGATGGTCAGGGCAAATGAGTGAAAAGTATTGCTCGATGCCGGTATTACCCAACAATTAATTTTAATAAAACCGATTTATTGTGCAAAACTTGCACACAAAAAATACAAGATGTAAATAAAACTGAGTGGCATTATAAATTTTTTTTAATGATATATTAAGAAATTGTAATAAAATGTATACTCATTGTAAAGTATCTTTACGTGGAACTTTTGTTTAGAACATTATCCTGAAAAGAGGTGTGAAATATCTAACTGTTTCATCTTTAAAAAAATAAATAAATAAATAAAAAACAGTGAGAGATTAACCTTCATGACTTTTGTTCTATTTTTCAGATTCGTGCGTACAAAGAGCCTATTCTAGTAGTCTAATGTAGACTTCAAATTTGCTTATTTATTGCTAATTATTAATTAAGTTTCAACATCTGAAATAAAAACGCAATTTCTCTAAATCAAAATACCTTTTTACGATGGATTTAGATTTTTGACTGCCAAATAGAAAGGGGAATCATTGGAACCCTATTTTCCTTTATTGCGAAAATATGGCCCAATGGTTTGGTCAGCAGAAGAGTCTCAGAAGCTTGATCCCCTTAAACTTAATTGCATTTTTTTATTTAATTCACCATATCTCGGAAACATTTTAAGCTAATCGACAAATTTTGCGCACAATTATGACATTCGTTTATACAAAAATTGTTCCATGAAAAAAAAANAAAAAAAAATTTATTTATTATTATTTTATTCAACAATGATTGAAAAAATTTTGAATAGTAAGATATATAATTACACTTTACATAATTTTAAACTACATAATTCTAAATAGCAAAATCAAAAATTTGAAAGAAATTGGTTAAATAGTTCCTCAGATATAAAATTTAAGAAAAGCCGGAATATTGAAATTTTAATTTTTCTAAAACAGTTAGCGGACAAGTGAACAGAATAGAAAGATAAAATTATTTAAAACTGCGTGTTGTTAGATTTTCCAGTTAAAATGATTAAAAGGCAGTTTCTTAAAAAAATTCGTCGAATCAGGGAAGGTTAAATAAATGGCATTTTTTATTTTGTTCGCATTTTCTGGACATTTTCTTTCTGTAAAATTATTAGACACAATTTTCTTTTTTTTTTTTCGAAATATTTTTTTTCTCAAGATTTTGGGGATCGAAACTGAAGACCCTCTGGAATTTTGTAAAAAATATCTATTTAATATGCGGCAATGCTATTTTTTATATGCCTGAACTAAGGCACTAAACATTATTTTGTGCTCCACTACTTTCACGCTAACTATTAAGATATATATACTTTCAGTGAACTTTTGCATCAAAGGTCCAAGTTCATTCACAAATCTTTGGAAAAAGGCAATTTTTTTAGACTTCGGCTTTCGGTTATCAAAATCTACTTGTGTTCTTTACTTTGTGTTCTACTACTTTCACGCTAACTATTAAGATATATATACTTTCAGTGAACTTTTGCATTAAAGCTCCAAGTTCATTCACAAATCTTTGGAAAAGGGGAAATTTTTTTAGACTTCGGCCTTCGGTGATCAAAATCTACTTGTACCAACAAGGAAACACAAAGGTATATATTTTGTGAATGCATACTAACGGGTAGCATCTAAAAAAATCAACATATGTGCGTGTACAAAGCGATAAAATAAAAAAAATTAATGGACCATTCTGATCTTCACGTTCTAGGACTCAATCTTAATGGTTCGAGGGGAGACCTCAAATTTACTAATTAATTGATGCAGACGATATTTTACGGTGCGAAATCTGACACAAAAACGTACTTTCTCTGACAAACAATTTTGAAGGATTCCGATTTCTGAATCCCGAAATATTAGGGGTATTGCAATATGTGATATGGTTCCCATAGTTTGATCAAAAGAACGATCCAAAGTTTGGACCCCTTTACTCTAATTTTACTTTTTTCGTATTTACTTTATTCGTATTTCGTCATATCTCGAGCATTTTTTGAGAGAATCGAAAAACTTTTGAACACAATTATAAAATTCGTTTATCCAAAGATATTTCCATGCAAAAAATAACTATTAATAAATATTATTTTTTAATTATTTCATTTAATAATTGTTAGAAAAATTTTGAATAGTAAGTTACACAATTTTTTACGTAATTTTAAAAAATGTAATTTCACATGGCAAAATACAAAAGTTAACCGAATGCTGTCTAATTGTTCCCGAGAAATCGAACTTTAAATTACTTTTTTAAATAAACGTTGGCGATAGAATTCTAAAGTTTAGACAAGTTCCAAGTAAGAGGAGCAATTTAAACCCCCCGATCCGAAAAATAGTTTAAAAGTTTTAATTAATGGGTTTAGGAAAAATGTTTGTAAAATGATTTTTTCACATTAGTTTAACATTAGTCGTTGTTATGAATAAAATTATAAACGATTCTGCTTAAGATTTTATCAATAGTTTTTTTTTTTTAATGTTTAATTTGTTACTAGTTCAGTCATCAACTTGAATGGCATGTGGATCGGTGCTACGTCACCAAATTGGCAAGTCTAATATTATCCGAAACCACGTGTTTACTTTGTACATATTTGTGCTTTTAAAACGTGTTCCGTGGGGTAATAAGGTGCAACTTTTTTTTCAAAAACTTAATAAATCGTTCCAAAAAGTAGGAAATTAAATAATTTATAAAATTTTAAAAAACAAAAACTTTTCTTCAGGTCTGCACGGAAAAGTAATAAATTAAATATTGCGTGTAACTTATAAAAATCGAGTTTTATATAGTCTTGACTAATTTTCCATGTATTACGTTTATTTGACATGAAGTTTTATTTTAAAATGTGTTGCAAGATTTTCTTATAAAATCTTACAACTCATTATTAACGAAAGCAGATGTAAAGTCTGTGGTGTTCGAATAACAATAATAATTCCTTTAAAAATCTTATTTAAAAAAATTATTGTAACACGTTTTAAGATAAGTTTTGCATAAAATGAACAAGATCCCTGGAAAATGAGCCGCGACTATATGAACTCGATTTTTATAAGTTACACGCAATATTTTATTCATTAGTTTTTTGTACAAACCCATAGAAAAGTTTTTTTTTAATTTTTTAAATTAAGTTTTTTTTGTACTGTATTTGAACAACGTAGCTCTTAAAATTTTTACTTTACAAGCTACGTAATTAATTCCTGCTTTCTTTTTTATTCCATTTGCTTATTCAATTACTTTCATCCATTTTTTTCTACATATATTTATTTATTTGTACCCTTATGTTCTTATCTATTTATAATGATATCCAAATTTTCATGTTGCTTGACAACTAGGGCAGTTTGTTGTGACAACTTTTTCCACCCATTGTTATTACTAATGTATAATTAATAAATATTTGTAAAGCGCTTCATTTGTGGCAGCGCATTTAAATGATTTAGCTTGCTCTCAATAACTAATGTTAATGCTAATTAAATAGAAATCAAAGCTAATAACTACATTCCTCGTATATATACCTACATAAACGTTTTTTAACATAAAGTTTTTTATTAAAATACGTACTCATTATATTTATTCGCTCGTTTATTAATGAGCAGTCAGATAATTAGTGCATTACCTTTTTTTTGTATGGAGCAGAGTGTATCGCAGAAGAGGATGTTTAACTAATATAAAATAATAGCAACAAATATGAAGTCCATTTATTCTTTAATACATTCATAACGACACAAAATAATACAAAGTTGATAACATTACAATGGGATACCTGCAAGTGACGTAGTGGGGATATCTCATGCGTGATTGGTTGTTAAAACGTGACTTTGTTTATGTTAGCTACTGTTCTTTCCATTCTCTTTCGAGTTAACTTACCCCATAAAGTATCAATTCTCTTAAGCGATACATTCTATAATCTTTCACAAAGATTCTTTCACAATGATTTCAATTCTTTCATTATATATTTCTTACTTAACGCAATGACAGGCACGAAGCCATGTATCGAAGTTGCCAGGTACACAAAACAATAATATACCACATGTAACAATAAAATACTTACACAAATACTAAATTTATGGAAGAATTATATTTCAACGAATTCAATGTGTGATAAGACCCTGTATTTAATTAACTTCGCGTTAATTAACATTCGAACTTATGTCGAAAAATTTAGCTCAACTTTGACACGCTGTTTTGTTTATTGACGATCAGCTGGCGCTGTCGTCATAGGTCACATGTATGGGTATGTTTTATCTTCCTCTTCTCGAACTGAAAGTACCCACTTGTTTCATTTAAGATCCATTATCAAGTTACGACACAATCAGTATAAGTGTATATTTCGGGTTATCCCCACAAGAAAGCGTTCTAAAAGTGTTCTAAGTGTTGCATCGGTTTTTATAATTCCAACCCTTCCTTTCAATGTGAATATTGGGATTTATTTGCTTTTTTCTAATGATTAATCATATATACTAATAATTTCAAGACATTTATAATGTTTTAACTTCGGTAGTTTGGTCAAT